CCCCCCGGATCGGAGCCCAACCTCGGGGGGGACGCGTGCCAGCTCCAGCCCCGGCATGGCCGGGCAACACTTCTGCGGGCTGCGGTCAGCCGTAGGCCGCTGGCGCCAAAAGCGGACAAGCCGCGTGGGAATGACAAATGGGGCTTCGCGCCACAGCGGTCACAGCCTTCCTTCACCCTGTCCCTTTAGCACTGTCCAGTGCAACAGCAGTTTGGGAGGAGGAGAGGGCTCTGGTGCCCAGAGCTGCTGCTCCATCCACCCAGTAAAACCTGCTGGTCTCAAATAACGAGTAACGTAACCCACAGAAAGTAGTCTTAGGATCCTGGGAATGTCAGAGAAATGAATGTGTGGCCATGTGTCCTCACTGTCAGTTGTCCCTCTTCCCTGAACAGCCCTGCTTGTGCCTCTGCAGGCTGTGCTGTGCTGGTTGAAAACTGAGCTGCTATTAAAGGGAAGAAAATTATTGGTGACAAGGTTATCACGCAGCCCAGCCCCTGGTCGGTGGCAGGGATCTCTCAGCGAACCAGGCTGAGAACTGTAGCCTCTTATTCTGGTATCATGACAGAGAGGAAATGTTAACGCAAACTGACTAGGGAATGTGCAGCCCACAGTATTTCAGTGCTAAACCAGTTTGAGCTGGCATGCACTGCTGGAACTTCAGGGGCAAACAGATATGTATTTGTGCCCCCTCCTCACCCCCCGCCAAGGGGAACTATATATATTGTCTGAAGGCCAAAATATGAAGATGTGGTTTTGCAATAGGAAGGATGTGATGGGGAGAAAAACAAATCAGCAAGCTGGCAGGACCCCAGTGAAAGATGCAGTCTGCCATAGTTGGAGAACATCTTCCATTACACGTCTGAAACCAAGTGGGGACACATGGGGAATTGAAATATCCTAGTTTAATATCTCCATGGTGCTACTTGAAAATATTATTTGGAATTAGGTGTCTGTGGGCAAACCACTGCACTGATGTGGGGAACAAGCACTGAACAGCTTGAGATCCAATGTCAGGATGAGCAGGCAGCTCAGGTTAGCTTTTTTTTGGCTAGCAGAGCTAACAACACAGGGAGACCGTGGTGGCGTGGGCTGTACAAAAGCATTTCATTAAATAGCTAGTAAGGCTGAAGTATATAATGTTGCCACTGTTGCTGGATCAAAGCTAGCTGGCTTTGCCATGCTGCAGGTGTGTTTTCAGCATGTCTCTCTGTGGGATCCTGTTGGAGATGAGCCCTGGAGGGGCAGGGATGTTCCCAGTACGTTCTTCCCCTGATTGTGCCTGAGGCCTGTGCGTGGCTTTAGGACTGGGGCTTTTGAGAGATGCAGAAGTCCCTCATATGGGCAGGAAGCCCAGGTGGGAACATGAGTGCTCTGCAGGTCCCTGAAGACTTTGGAGTCTCTCCTCTTTAATGGGACAGAGCAAACACTTCTGACCTTAAACCTGGTGTTGAGTCACAGCTGAGAACAGCCCATCCTGGCAGGGAATGATTGAAATTCCTGCTTTTTCCTGGCAACAGCCAGGGCAGAGGAAGGTTGCAAGTTGGACAGATTGTTTTCACTTGCATAGCATGTCTCTAGCTGGAGTGAGTGGCTCCGATTGGAGACAGGCTGCAGGTGTAAATACTGCAGGGGGAGCAACTCTAACGGAAAAGGTTTTTCCTCTATGCCAGTTTATATCTTTTCCAGCTCTCCAGTTAGCTAACTGTAGGAGTGTGCCTGCTTGTTACACAGCTAACTAAAATACATTTGATTAGTTGAGCTGCTTCAACACTTTCTAGTTGGGCTTTGATCTGGGCTCTTCCTGAGACCTTGATTTACCTGCAGTTTGTCCGAGTCTGTTGGCTAGTAGATCAAGGCTGTGAGAAAAGGATTTTACCCTCTCTGCTAAACTCAGTTCTTGCTCTTCTGCCTTCCTAAAAACATATGTACCTTGGCTTTTCTAGGCCACTGCAAACTCCCTGCTTTCTGTGCTATGCACAGTCACAGAGCCGAGTCATGCTGCTGTCCCTCCCTCAACCAACTGTCCGCTTTATTGCTAAACTAATTGTGAGGTCAAAGTGCACAACTTCCCATTCTCCTGTGTTTGCTTCTGGGACCGAAAGGTCCAACTCGTTGCATAATGGTGGACCACTGCATGGAGCACGCAGACCACAAACGACTTGGGTTTTGCAACCACTGCTCAAGGCTGCAGGGCCCTTATCCTGTTCGCCGACTTTAGTTTCTTCAAGGGGCGATAAAGAAGAGAGGAGTCATAAAGGATCTGTGGTATGTATGCCATGACTTAGGGTCGAGCAGCTTTTGCACGTTGTCAAGTGTTGTTAATAGTGTGCAGTAGGTTTGCTGGTGTCAGTGGATAGGTGACATCCACTGGAGAAGCGATTTTCACCTGCAAACTTTCTTAGCGTAGCATAAATAGGTCTCAAAAGGAAGCAATTGCTCCACCTATTAAAATCAATTAGAAACTTGCCATTGTCTTCAGCAGAGGAATAATCTGGAGCCTGCAGGGGTGGGTTTTGGAGGGCTGAGGATCCTAGCACCCACATTAGCACCAATGAAGGAAGAGCGAGTTGTAGGTCCCATGATGCAGGTGTGTGTGATCTTACGTGCTCATCTCCATCCTGCTCACCACTGCAGCCAGCAATTGCGTTCTTGGCTCATGTTCAGAGACCCTGGAATTATTCCTCCCACCCCTGAGGTGAGGCACCTGCGTCAACGCTATAGCATCTTCTTTCCCTGTTCTCTCTGTCCTGACTTACGTGGTATTTTGGGGCTGCAGTGTTGCTCTTGTAAAAACTAGCAGTCAAATCGTGTATTTTCTTTATCTTTCAGCTTTACTGCTCCAGGGAGGCCGGGTGCTGCCTGTCAATGGGGTCAGGAACAGTCCTGCGGGTTGTTGTTGTGGCTCAGCTGAGAGGAGATCACATTTGAGTTACAATTATTTGATGAGCCCTGATTCTTAGTTTTGGAATTCCTCCAGACCAGGAATATCTCCCAAAATAGCACTTTTGGAGCACTGTGCAAAACTGTTTTTGCACACCGCACCTCCCCATATGACATGTGGGAAGTCCATCTGATAGTTTAGAAGGCAAAATGATTCATGTTTCTGGTTATTTACCCCCAGCTCCTCTGCTGTCCTTTTGGTTTCCAGGGAGAGTGACAGTCTCTTGTCATCCCACTGGTGTTCCTCTGCCCTAATTGCTCCCTGGTGTCTTCTCTCTCCTCCTTTCCCATCTTTCCCTGCCAGTGCAGCCATTCCCAAAGCTGGGCTCTGCCAGGCCAAGGTGAACCTTGTTACACAGTAAAACTTACAGACTCGCTAGTTTTGTGCAAGGAGGCTGTGACTTCCTCAGTGCTGTCCTGCAGAGGTCCCCGGCGTGGAACCAGAGCCAGCGTGAGCTCAGCCAGCAGGTGGCTCTCTGGGAGCAAACCACCAAGGTCCTCTCTGGGGACCGTGCAGGTGGCTCTGTCCTGAGCTGGGACACATCAACACTGCTCCCCAGTGCCAAGCAAGGGAACCTGCATCAAATACCAGTGAGATCTGAGGTATGGCACTGGAAACCTTATTCTTCTTGCTTGCCTCTGAAACACTTCCCTTTCCAGTGCAATTTTCCCTCGTGCCTGAGGCCGGTGGTGGCTTTAGGACTGGGATTTTTGAGAGCTGCAAATGTCCCTCATGCTCCACTGTTTGTTTCCTGCACAGAGGTAGGCACGAAGCAAACCTGGTCCCTACAGTGCAGGGACAACCTCTTACCTGAGTCATCCTGGAGAACGGGGAGGGGGTGGCCATGCTGCGGCACATCGCTCAGCTGCTCTGGTGTGTTTTTTCTGCAGGAAGTCGGCCCAACCATGGTGGGAGATGAACATTCAGATCCCAACCTGATGAACTACCTGGGGGCCATGAAGAGGAACATGTTGGGTAACCACTTGTAAGTGTTCCTGTACTATGTCTCATGCTCTTGCCTCTCCTCATTGTCTCCTCATTGAGCTTCCCTCCATCCACCATAGCAAATTCTAACTGCATGTCCACTTTTAAGCTCAAGATTAGGTTGCTGGTGAAAAAAACCTAGGTAACACCTTGGCAGACCTGAAATACCTGGCTACTTTCCTTAGGTCTGTCTTGCATCCCTGCGACACAGAGTTGGAGAACAGCCTATTGCCCACATTCCTCCTCTGGGAATGGGTTATGTTGATGATCCTTTTAATAGACTTTGTTTGCAATTTTCAAAGCATTTCATATAATCTGAGTTGAAATGTTCTTCACAGAGAGGAAAATGTATGGAGAAGTGGTCCTTTTAAGGTGTCTGTACAGATCAGTCTCAAACTGTAGACTTATCCTCATACCCTGGAATTGCAGGAAGCTGGTACACCAGCAGTGCCCTTAAAAAGCGACATGGGTTTTGTACATTCGGCAGCTGCTCCTTCAATTGAACATTCAGTGAATGTTCAGTTTGCATTAAAAAAAATGAAAAACAACAAACCATGGTCCAAAGTGCTTTCTGAAAGCCACCACGTTTCACTAGGTGGTGGAAATCAAGGCACTGAAGCAGTATGCACATGTCTTTACCCTGCCTGCCAATGCTCACCTGCAGAAAACATTTACTGATATTTCAGTTCTTTCTTTTTCTTGCTGTGACCCCATTTTAGCACCTGACCTTCCTCCTTCCCCATCCTTACCCTTTACATGTTTGGGATACTTCCTGGCTGTTACCTGATGCATGCCCTACCTGAACTAAAACAGGCACTGTGAGTATTTTAATCTTTCTGCATCACTTGCTGCCTTTACCCTGTCCTTAGTCCTTGTAGCCAAACTGCCTCCCTCTTGTTACCACTTCAGCCCTGAGACAGTCAGAAGCCAATGCTTCTGGCCAAGGGCATGCATCCCTCCTCACACAGCCTTGGTGTGGCTGTGGCCTCTTTTGCTGCTGCGCCACCCGACAAGCCGATCCCCAGCCTGTCTGATCACATCATACTCTCTGCTGTGGTTTGTCTGAGGTTTCTCCCTTTTACTGAGTGTCTGAGCCAGCCCCACTCAAAGGCTGCTGCGAGCCTCTCCTTGGGCTGCAGAATCAGAGCTACTCCAGGTTCCCCTTTCTGACTCCAACCCTTTAGTCTGTTTGTTTCCAAGCTGTATATATTTTACACTTCTCCATGTCCCTGTGTATCTCTCTGCCCACATTGAGTTTGACACCATCCTTCATCAGAGCGCAACTTGTAAATGTTACTGACATGTTCTTTACATCTTGTCCCACTTTTTTTTCCCCACTTGATATTTCAAATTCTTTTTTTTCTGTAGGAAAAACAAAGCAAAACAAAACCCCAAATGCAAATTGAAACAACAGAGGGGAGCAGACAGATTTCTGCTGAATCTTGCCCACTCACCCTGCGGTATAGAGGAGGAGTAGGAGGAAAACCAGGCGTTAAACAGAATGGGACCTCTCCTTCCCATTCTGTTCTGAAACTTCTATCAGCTGGGCTGGGAAAACCCACCTATGCAGTACTAGTCTGGCAAA